TGTTGACTGTCAACACAATGAAAACGTGGATAGTGGTGCACAATTAGTTCAAATACATCTATCATATGTAATAATAAACATCTTCTGTTTGATGTCAAGTTGTTTAAAACGCGACATAATGTTATCTAATAAAATTACACTTAAAGTCTGTTAAATTAAGTCTGAAAAATAATTGATAATTATTGTTTTGTGTTTTAATTTTAATTGAACATCAACTTGTGAAGCATATTTTAAAGGTGTAATAGTTACTAAAAACCATTTCCAGCAACAACAAAGTGTCAAATGATACTGTCATATTTACAATGTGGTTGTTATGTTATAACCAAGAACAACAGATTATCCATTTTTTGTTTATCGAATAAAAAACCAAAGAAAAACTTTTCCCATTTTTATTTTTTATTTTTTAAAATACCAACTAAAAAGATAAAGCCCAAAAAATCGAAAAGAAAAGTTAAAACAATTTTGTTTTATTCAAACATTAAATTAGAATTGCCATCAAAAAGTTTATTTTAAATTTTCTGAAACCATTATTCAATAAAAATCAACCCTTGTCTTTTTAACTTTGTTTTAAAGAGCCCTGAAATACGAACCATAAAATAATATTATTTTTGTAATTATGAATAATAGTTTTATAAATTACATTTTTACTTTAAAACTTTAATGCCAAAATTATTTAGCATTTTAATTAAAAATCCAATATTTGCGCTTTTTTACCACCACGAATAAATTATATAATTACAATATTTTCAACAATTTCATATGATTGTTATATTCACTTTATATTATGACAACAATAATACTTTTCATTATTGTTGACATTTAAAAACAAAAGAAAACAAGCCAAAATATAAGTAAAATCAGTATTTGGTAAAACAGTACTTGTTAAACTACAACAAAATTATAGATCTAGTTGAAAAACAATTAAATGATATTGTTTCTTACCACAGTCTACAGTTTTAGGGGGACCGAACACAAAGGTTTGGGGTTTATTTTGCTCAAAATCGTCGAGAAAACAAAAGAAAAATAAAAACAAGAGACAAAAGAAAAATAATAAATTTAATGATTTTCTTTTTCATAACACAATTTTTTTAATTTAGTAAAAAAAATAAGCAAAGCAAAATGTCTATTATTTGATAACATAATATTGAGGGGGGAAATGTTATTTGTTTAAAAACTAAAAATAAAAAACAACAAAATTGTTAAAGGAAATCGGGGAAGTGTTGAAAAAATAGAATTAAAACATTTATTATAATAAGATCATTCGACGTAAAATTTGGGGAAAAACACAACAAATTTAAGTTGTGAATAAATATGAAACAAAGATAGTTTAAAAATATTAAAAAAATGGAATTAATTACTATAACTTTTATTGTTTTATTGTGTAAATTGTCATAAGTTCATTTTATTTAACACAAATCAAATTTATTATTGATTAACATATTATAATTATTATAATTATTATAATTTTGAAAACAGTTCAAACCAAACCCACCATAAGCACAATTCAATTACGCTTTATTATTTTTCATCCTTTTGAATTGAATTATCATTGATTTTCAAAAATTATGGATTATATATTATTTAACTATAATAAAACAATAAAAGTATTAGACTATGATTAATCGAATTATATTAAAGTCCAAATCATATTAATTTAAATATAAATATGTATTAATTAATCCAAAAATGTATTTATTGTTACATTTCAACTTTATTGAAACAAACAAGTAGCATTTTTGTGTAAAGTGTGGCATTGTTAATAATTTATTATTCCCGATATTGTATTTTAAAAATACCATATTGTTTTATATCTATTGAACCCGATAAACAGAACAATTGTTTTATGATAAATAACTATATTTTACTCCACTAAAAAGTTACATAAAATGCGCTCATATAATGTCATTATTTTTGTAAAACATTTTTTACAAAAATATTTGTATAAATTATTTCCCAAAAATGTTTGATAAATGGTTTTCTTCTTTACAATCCACAAAACAATATCATCATTTCCAACTTTCTGTGACAAAAAAACAAAAACACCATTTCGAAAATGTAATAATTATTAAAAAGCGTTTAATTTACCAAAGATTATTTTGAAAAAAGCACATTTATTTCTAATTGTGTTGTTGTGACAAAACTAAATATTAATCACCATATTATGTCTGTTTTCGAATCATAAATTGTTTTTCATTTGTCATTGATCAAATCCCAAAATATTAGTATAATCATGGCCAAATCAAACAAAATATCATATAGTATATTTACTAAAAATTTTAGTATTCAATTTCACTTTGAAAAATGGTAATTTTTTATAAGTTTTGTCCATTCTCTTGTTTTTTCCTTTGAAAAATGTAATTTTTTTTTAATTATTTACCAAATTATTATTTTGCCTCAAATTGCTTGTTATTTTGCCATTTCTTTTATTCATTTACAATTTTCCATTATCTTTATACTCTTTTTTTCTTGTTTTCCCCGAAAAAATAGAGAAAAAAGTAATTATAATCAATTTCTTACTAATAATTATTAAAAAATAAACCAAGTTTTATCGAATTTTGGAAAACCTAAGTGTTTGACCTCCCCCAGTTCTGGAGACCGTGTTCTTACCTTTGTTTTGGAATTTCATATACAGTTGACCAAAAAATAGTCAAAAATTAAATAATTGTAAGAAGTAAATTTAATAGTTTTAAAACCTTAATCAAAAATTATTTTAAAAATAGAAATGGTTTTCTTAGCATTATTTGGTGTACCTTTTTTAAAAATAGTTATTTCTAATGTAATTAACTGGAAATACATCCTTCTTACAATTATTTGGTCTCTGATAATTATTTGGTAAACTGTACAACTATTGGTTATTTTTAACATCAAAATTATAGAGTCGAAATCAGTTATTATTATAATACAGATAGCGGAAAAACCAGGGACCAGACTAATTTAGCTATTGAATATTAAGCGGATTATATACAATAAAACGGGCATAGATATAAATAAATGTGTAATTTTTTTATTATTTGGTATTAAAAATGGTCGTTTTTCGGGATGAAAAAAGAATGTGTTATATAAAGTTTGAATGAACAACAGCTTAATGTGAGTTAAAATAGTAAGTTTATTATTATTTATTATTATTTAATTATAAAATATTATTCTTTTGTTCAACCTTGTTTGACTTCAACACAACCATACAATTAACTTAATCATTCCTTTTTTTCAAACGAGACAATGTAGTTTTCTCTATTCATTCGGTTGATTTGATGAGTCACTTTTCGTTCAGCATTAAAAGTGACTCACGCAATAAATAAAAATAAAGTAAAGAATAAATAAATTATTGGAATGTTAGACATTCATTAAATGATTGATGATTATTAAAAGTATTCAACAACGGGAGATAAATCAATATAAAGAACAAACTTTACTTTGGCTCGGCTGGGCATTAACAAATGAGACAACTTTGAATGATTAATTAAGAGTTTCATATTTTATAGTTTTTTCTATTTTATTCAAAAAACAGTGTGTTTATAAATAGTTAGTCCCTGTTTTTTAAAATAAACCAACATATCCTCTAAAACTTTGATTATTTGTTTATTTTTTTTTCTGACAAGGAAACTTATTGTTAAAAATAAAACAGCTTAATTTAGTATAGTCCCTGGTTTATGATTTGGTCACTGTTTTTTTCTATCTGTAATATTATGCTCAATTGTTCTGTTTTTATTTATACTTGTGATAATTATGACAATCACATAGAAATCATTTAAAAATTATTAACCATAATAATAAATAGTAACAATGATTAAAAATAAAAGTTTAATATTCATTTAATTATAATATAATGTAATATTTGTAACATTTCAAGTAATTAGTTTTTTTACAAATATAAAAATAAAATCTGGTAAAGTAAGGCGAAAAAGTCGCACCACTAATCTAAAGACTTCTCTTTTTTCTATTTTATCCTTTTTTATCATTTTTATTTGATTATTTTTTATTTTTTGTTATAATTGATTCATTTACCTTCTTTTTATTTCTTTTAACTAAAATGTTTTGTAACTTTTCTTGAATTATCTAAAATTGCTAATTTTTGTTCGGCATTTTAAGCCTTTAATCATTTTATCTAAACCCAATTTATTAAACTAAAAACATGTATATTTTACTTTGCCATTTTTTGTTTATATTTTTAAAACTATTAATAATAATTTATTATATTATTTAAACTATATTTTTAATAAAAACAATATATTATATTAATAGCATTTGTCATGTCTATAAATAAAAAAGACAAATTCTAAAGGTTTAGTTTCATACTCAAAAAAAAGAAAAACATATCTAAATTTTTATAAAAATGTTTATGTTTGAATTAAAAAAATTACAATTGTAACTCCAATGCACCACAATGGATAATGATAAAACCTAAGTGCACGACATTACCTTTATAAGTTGTGTTTATTGAATCTCAAATTTTGCGACCATATTACTAATTTATAGTTTT